ATAATAATAATAATAATAATAATAATAATAATAATAATAATAATATAAAAGCCAAAAGTATCAATAACATACTTTTAAAACGTTAAAAAAAGGCAAGAAGCAAAAGAGCAGAAGCAGAGCAAAAGAAAGGAATATCAACAAGTTTAAAGCAACTGAAGAAGTGGAAGGGAATGCTCACAGTATTAATGTAAAAACAGTACAATATACAAGAGCAGATCGTTGACTCATTGATCGAAATTGTAGAGTTATTCATGTATGTAGAAGCAGCAAGAGTCAATTACTATAAGACTGTGCAAAACAAAGTAGCGCTTGCATTATAAAATCATACCTAGTGTTAAATAGTGAAAACAAAGAGTTCTAGTGATAAGCAAAAAGAATTTGTGTTTCATCAGTGACAGGTATAATATGGGTTCAGTGATTAAAATGGATTTTTTTGTAGCATAAAAGCAATGCATACAAAATCGGTTGTTGTATCTTGAATTACTTTGTTGTGGAAAGAATAGTAATACCCTGAAAAATGTAAAAACAATGCAAAGATGTAAAAAGCTAGTTCAAATGATAACAAAAATAAAATAAAATAAATAAATAAAAAAACAAAAAAAAAAAAAAAGAAGAAATAGTGTTTGTATGAAATTGAGTGAAGAATAGTGATGGGTGAAACAAAGCACGAGTAGTAACCAATGAGGAATGTTCATACCTAAACTTGACTAGTGAATTTGTTTTTCTCTTTCTTTGTTGTCCTAGAGCTCAGCTAGGGATCTAGTTATCCAAATAAACATTCCCATGTTCTCATGGCAGTATGTCAGTTCCTTCACAGAGGGCACAATGAAGGATAATAACCAAAATGTGTTACCTGACGTGCCTTTGCAAATAGTTTTTATTACATGGGACCGAATAGTTTCTAATTAATTCATGCCACAGAATGTCATTTTCGCCTGCATTCATAATTCAACTTAACATGGATATAAGCTGGGGTAGAGATACCAGGACTCACGAAAACATGCAGAGAATACTCTTCTCCCTATAGTATGATACACTGTTTTAGCTGCTTTCTGACATTAAATATGTAAAAAAAATATTGTTCTATTAGAACGAGAATTTTAAAGACAAAACATTGAAGGCATCAATGAAAATATTTTTTTAGTATTTTTTGAAATTCCCTATTCTACTCAAAATTTTGTGAAAAATACTTATAATCAAGATATTGTACATTTTATTATCTTAAGAGCTCACTTCGAAAAACAGATTTCATTCAGAAACAAATCTCTATCATTAATAATAGAAATACTATTCATTAATAGTAAAATGGGGTCCAAAAAATATTGAACTATTGCAAGGTTTGGAAAAGCAGAAGTGTTTAATGAAAGTCAGATCTGTGCCATTTTAATAAGCAAAATCATGAATATCTGAACATAAAGCGTGAAATAAAGTGGAGTTATTACAAGAATTTCCAAAAAGTTACCAGGGCTTCATGTAAAGTACTCTCAAAATAAAAATATCTGTTTGAAATTCAAGAGGCCACGACTTCAGCTACATTCATTGGGGATTATCAATTTTGGTGAAAATCTTGCAAATGGTGAAGAACTAATGTTCTACATAGGCAAATGGGTAGACTGTTAAAATGAAAAAAATGGAAAAGGGGGGGGGGGGAGAAAGGAGAAGAAAGAGAGGGGAGAGGTAAGGGAGGGAAAAAAAAGAAGAAAAAACAAACAAGAAAAAGAAAGAAAGAGAAAGGAAAAGAAACTGACAGAAACATCATTAAGGAGTATTTCTCTGATGTGTATGTCTCAACATTAATTTTTTGGGGCATTACACAACTCACTTCATACTACATACACTTAGAAGGAACTAGTAGTGCTAAATCAGCATGTACTTTCTCGCCCGTACTTTCACACAAAATTAAATGAAAAGTACTAAAATTTTCGAAAAATTGTACATGACCTTATTTCATAATTTATTTTTAAGGAAAAGATTTCATTAAGGGAAAAATCTCTTATCTTTAATATTTTAGTTGTGGGAAAACATTTTTGATCATTTGCAAATTTCGAAAAATCAGGATTTTTAACGAATGTTAAACCTGCACCATTTTCTTAAAATCTCTTCACATTACACAGCAACAAATTTAATAAAAAACAATCGAGCAATTTTTTTGAAAATTTTGAAAATGTCTCAAGGGGCTTCATGTAAAGTACACCCCAAAATTAAAATATCGGTTTCAAATTCAAAGGGTCGTGACATCAGCCAGATCGATGGAGGAATTTCGAATTTGGAGAAAAAACGGCAGAACGATTTAGCCGAGCCTTGTTCGCAGGGGGGTGGGGGGTGGGGGGCGGACAAACGCTTTGCCATCATTCGATTTTTAGGTCCCACAAAACATGAATTCTGGCTACACCACGTGTTAGATGATCCCCCCTCCCTAAATTTAGCATTTACCCACTTTTTCATTGCCAGGGCCCTGTAATAAGAGATTTTCCGTCGAAAATTCGACCCTTTTTCTCGCAGCATTACATAACTTTCTCTACACCGCGTAAGCACTAGTGAGAAAGTAAAAAGAAAGCTGACTGCTGGTGGCAACCGCGTGGCTTCCAGTAGCACTCTCGCGGAGCAACGTAACAAGCAGTGCGCGGCGATTGTACGAAGGTCGCCGACCTGGAGCAGACGGTGCTGGGTGGACGGGAGCGGTTGGAGACTAGTACTCGCCTGAAGACCTAACCAGCTCGACAATGGTAAAGGCGTGGGCCTACACGGGCTGTGCAAGTTCTGCTTCACGCGCGCATACATGTTAACGTCTCTAAATTCACCATTTCTTTCAATTTCAGACGCAATATGGTAGCGACTCGTATTTGCAGTGCGCCAAGCTTCCCATGAAATCCGTTACTCTTCACCAGCCCCCCTTAGACGAACTTGCCGATGGTAACGTGTATGGTTCGCTTAATACTTGCCGGTTTTAACACAGCAGCATGTCACGGGCCCCACGCTAACGCATTTTGAAAAGAAAATTTAATTAATCCTTTTAAGATTCGTCTAAGTACACCAATGTTTACCAATTAATTGATTTTTCTGTACTTTAAAAATGTGGAAAAGGCAGATGTAATGATTACAAATGGATGTGAAAATGTTGATACTTTTGGTATGTAGATATCCTTAAGTAAAATTTGTGAAAATATTTTTTCACAAGTTTAATCATTTGATGTTTATCAACTTCCGTTTTTAGAAATTCATTAATCTTGTTATACACAAAACTGGAAAATATTTTTTTCTGATAATCATAAAATTAATCAGTTATATTCTTCTCTATGATAATGGAGACAATCAAATATTCTTCCCTAATATCAAGAAATATGTTTATGTAAATCGTATGTACACATGTGGGATGGATGCCTTGATTTTTAGCCCCCATGGGCCCTGCACACTGGTCCGGTTGTACAACATTCTGGCCATAAGACTAATGTGCTATACAGTAATGTATGCCTCATTTGATTTTAAGTTAGAATCACTGGCTTCAATTTCACTGCAACATTATCAACCATTGGTCAGAATATGAACATATTCTGACTCGAAGGAAACAATATTGTGTGTGTGTGTGTTTGGTTGTTGTCATATTGCTCTTTAAAATCATTTTAGGGGATTTTTTTAAACTTGAATATTCTGCTAAGCTCTCATATCTTTTTTCAAAAAAATTGTAAGTTGTTCATCTTATTTTTATTTGACTTCTCATATTTTTATTACTATATACATACTAATGTGTAAATTTGAACATTGTGAGACAGGTGGGAAACCAGCATTTTGCGTAACTTTCAGACTACAACTTTGAACAGTAAAGTTTTTATTTTTATAACAAACACATAAAGAAATAATATCCCCAAACATATGGTTTTCGTTCATTCACTCCTATTAAAATATATTGTACATTATCACAAAAACAATACCTACACTAATTTTCAATTCTTCTTCTTCAGTTCTCCAGGATGCCTTGGCAAAAAATTTCAAAGCTGCTTCAGTGAGGGTGTCTGATTGCCCAGATCTTTCTCAGCCACCTTTTAACCTTTCTTCCCCAGGTACAAAAGTACTCATCAATTCACATATTTGATATGTGCCAAGGTTTTATAAACTTAAATGATTACTGCAGGTTTAGGAGGCCAAAGCACTTTATTGGACATAGGCAGTGCAACCTATCTCACTCCTGTGGCTCATCGAAACAAGATCTATGACCTTAAAGACATAGCTCATACAATTGGCTTGGAGCCAACTTTCATTATAGGAGCAGGACTTGGGCCATGGCCCCACGCAAAAGTGAACTGTGAAGTAATATATTCAAAATTATCTATTAACAGAAGTTCATATAATTTCAAATGTATTCACTACATGGCTATTTTGTCTGCAGATGATTGCAGATCTCACAATTAAGGACAATGGTATAAGTAATCAAACACGTATTGCACATATTGTCAATGAAAAGTGTCAGCTAGATCAACTTCCTGCCTCTGAGACACGCTGCATGATACTTATTAATCTTTTTTGTAGTAAAGGACAAAATACCAAGGTAAAATGGAAGGGCAAAATAAAATAATATTTAACCCTTACTGAACCCCAATTCATAATAATAAATCTACTTTGCAGGTACTTGAAGTAAAATGTAAAGGCAGGACAGGACAGGATGATATTATTTCTTGTATGAGGCAAGCAATACAAAACAAATACAAGGACAAATTAATAGGTAATCTAAATAAAACAGTTCTGTACAGGCATGCACACAGAATCCCCATTAAAATTTCAAAAGGGACTCTGTAACCTCAAGTAATAAAAAACATTTAATTTTTGCAAATGTGATCAATTCCTCATTTTTTTCAAGCCAACAATTTGGAGAATTGATACATGACATTTGGGGAAGAAGGCTCACCAAACCATTTGGCTCCCCTGTAAACGGTTCAACATAAAATTAATAGAATTTATTAAAGTTATAATTTCATTTTTCTAGTAGTACATTTTATTTATTTTCTATTAAAACATGTCATACGTAATAGTTTAATGGAGCGGGAGCCTAGAAAAGTAGTTGACCCCCCTCTTGTTTTACACTGAGCACACCTATGGTATTCTGTCTGCAAATACATTAATAAAATACTTTTGGTAAATTGTTTTTAATTCTGCTACATAGGTTTGGGTGGCACTTTCCTTCTCTCAGAAAGTAAAGCCAAACAGCACATAATGCCCGACTTTTCCGACATTCCTCTGGATACTCCTCAAGCAGTTCAGAACTGGATAAAATTCTATCAACAACATCCACCGCTTGTTGCAGTTGGAACGTTTGTTTCAACTGATCCTGTAAGCTTATAGCTTAGCATTCATGAATATTAAAAATTTAATAATTCACGGAGGGAATGAGAGGTTTTCAATCATTTTGAAATTTTATATGAAGGTTTTAAATTATCACTTGAAATTGTGAATTTCTCCACATCATTTCTTAAAAGAAACAATTGCTTTATAAGTGAACATTTATTTACTATAAGAAACCAATTTTAAGTTTAAAATCACTAAGTTCACTCTAATGAATTCATTAAATAAAATCAAGGAAACTAATTCCTTTCAATAACAAAATTTAAACCTTGGTGCATTTGCACCTTATTCTCAATATCCCTGTCTCTTCTCATTTTAGGGTAGTATTTCTTCCTGATAACCAAAATATATTTAAGACATTATTCTTGAAAAAATATTAAATTAAAAATCTAATTGGTGAAAATTCAATAGTGATGTGCTTATTTTATGTTACAACAATTTAACTAATGTTAATGAATCTTTTCTCTCCATGCATTTTGCTCTAGGGACTAGATTTAAAAGTGCAACATTTTCATGGCATTAATTCCAGTGGAGAAGGTGGCCACTTCTACACTGACACCCAACCTGAGCTGGCCACTTACATAGGCTACTTTGCCATTGGAGAAATCTTACACAAAATTGACCAACCATGACAATTTGAATAACAAAAAAGAAAATGGACAATATCCCCTTTTCAGAAGAATAAATAATTTTAAATTGCTCATTTTATATATTTATTGCAAAGAAAACTTACCTCAATCCATCCTGCCTACTGGGAAGATCAATGAGGATTCTCCTCGACCCTGAAATTACAAATAATTCTGTTACAAATAAAACAGAAGTAGCATGATGACAACATTTTATTTCAGTCACCAAAAGACAAGAGTTTGACAAGAATGTAACAACTTACTATGCAAATTTGATAATTTTAACAAAATTGTGACAAACAAGTTTTCAATAATTTCAAAACATCTGAACAATAAACAAAAGTAATACTTCATTTCACTCACTTTACAAAGATGCAAATGTTTTCATTTATGGAAGTCATGCTTATTTCATTTTCAGAAATACTGAAATGATAATAAGAAATGAACATGCAAAATGTTTCATGACAAATGGTGATTTCTATAAAGAAAAAAAATATTTAAAAAAAATATCAAATGAGAAAAGCATTTTGAACACTTAAATTGAATGCAATCATGTATTATTTTCTTCAGAACTTGCATCAATCGAATCTTCACTCTCTTCATCTGCATGATCCATGACTTCAGAAAAATCTTGTACAGAAGGCCCTTCAGAAGAGTCGATTTGATCCATTTCCTCCTGCACATTAGGGTCTGCCTCTACTACTTCCATCTTCCTTGAGCGTCTCCTTTGGCGTTGCTTAACCTGTTTTCCAGAGTGTTTGTTTTTCACTTTCTCCTCAAATTCAGTGATGTAATGAAGATACCCTGCATAATTCTGTGGCTGCTCTACCAAAAGTTCAGCACATATGCTAATCTGCATCAGATCAGGTATCATGAACGGCTTGAGCCATCCCACTAATGGTGTGTGCCCATTGGTGTAATGTGCTTTTGAATGATAAAACAAAAGTCCATCAACAGTAACATCAGGAATGAGAGGAGTCTTTAAACAAATTTCTAAAGTTTCTGTATCACACTGAAATGTAGGAAGTGAGAAAAAAGGGTAGGTGTTACATTGAGATATTTCTACCATATCAGGTCCCTCTGTTAGTTTAGTTCGTAACCAAAAGAAACGGAACTCTGCTTCACAGTTTGTTAAATGCTGATTGTTCCATGCCAAAACATCTAGAATGTAGTATGAACGATTGCATTTGCTCCAAATACAATCTAAGAGAGTTACGCCTTTGGATGGCTCTCCACTTTCCATATGACCACCTGGCAAATTAGACCTGAAGCGGCTTAAAACTCTGCCATCTTTTGCAAATACTAGGGTCATTCCTTTTCCTGCTAAAACAAGGACTCTCTTTCCTATTGGACAGGGAACCATAATCCAATTTTCCTTGAAATCACTAGGAATTTCCATGAGCCATTCAGAAAGCATGAACTTCTTCTTATAAAGCTTATTTCTTTGTCTGGGTGCTTTATGCCATAAGGTGTTGATTTCTTCCACAATGTTTCTTCCTTCATTGAAAGATTCTTCGCGCAAACGTTTTTGGTGTTCTAAAAGGAATTTACGACGCTCTTCTTGAGAAGACCCTGTGTTGCGAGGTTTATACTGAGATAACCTCACAGATCCTAACTTTTCACCGTCAGACATGTGAATGTCAAAAGAAAAAAATAAATAAATTAACAAATATCACCAAAAGCTAACACACCTTGCTATACACTTGGGTTTTACAAAAATACGCAATAAAAATTCAAAATAAACAAATCATGGCATAATTTCACTGTCGCACGCCATCCAATTCGTTTTTCGTGTTTTCTTTCATGTTGAACAGTTGAGGAACGACAGCAGCCGATTTATAAAAGGTCTTAGCAGATGGTTATAGAAACAAACGAACGGCAGTGTGCAAAGCCAAAGATCTTTAGCAGAGAGTTTATGGCGCAAAGTGTGAGGCAGTACCTCCTAGATAGATATAGTACATAGATAGATGATTTAGGTGACATTGTGTGAGGGCTCTCCTGATTTTTCGCGAGACGTAATAAGATGATTATGTGAACATTTATTTATCAGCTACAAAATATATTTTCTTAATGGAAGCTGTTTGCGTAAAATAGCTTGAAAATTACCTTTTCTTGTAGATTACGTCAATGAATTTCAATGAAAATGTAATAGATGAAAAAATTAACTCCTAATCTGTCTTGTACACAGATAGTTATATTATGCCCGCAAATATGCATGTTGTCAAAAAATTTCCTTAAAACAATTCTTTTGAGTTTTCATATAATATAAAAAAATATTTTTTATTGGTAAATCCACAAAATGTTTAGCCATAATCTTTAACACAAATGTTTTTGTTTTTTTCAAACAAATTGTAATAATTGCTTTTTTGAACATGTTATTGAACTGTGCTTTGAACATGTTATCTTTCCTCCTTGTAACCTCCACCTAAATAAGCAAATTTCTCTAAAAATTTATAACAACACAATGCTGAGTTTTGTGTTATTTCCAACCCTTAGGATGTCAAAAGTGAATTTAAAAAGGTATATTTATTAACTAAAAAAAAAAAAAAAACTACATGTTTTCATACTTATTAGCATACATTTCATTTTTGAGCAAAGCCTGGCTTATCAAAGCTATCTGTTTAATTGGATTAATAGTGCATTATACATCTAGTTTATAATGTTATGATTTATGCCATATTTTAAAAACAAGTTTTCAAATTTGTACAAATGCATTAAAGCAACATTATAAAATAGTTGCATGTGCTATTTGTTTGTAAAACAGCATGGGAAACTTTTTAAAAACCAAAAATAATTTTGACATAGATGACCATGCAGGGAGGATGAGTAAGGAGAATGGACGGTAAGGATGAGCAGTTAAGATGGCCAAATAGGACAAATGGGGAAGACAGGGTGTGAGGGCGAGCGGTAACCACATACAGAAAGGCTGAACAAACGGCTAGTAGGATTTATTTATTTATGTTAAAAAGTGTGTGTGATGTGCTATGGGGAGAAGTTAATTTGAAGTTATATGAAGGAGTAATGAGGACAGACAGGGAGGATGAGATGTGCTATAGCATGCTGTTTTATGAATGATTTCTTGCAATGGGAAAGGTTGGCCATAACACAGATCTCTAGGAAAAGTAAATACTAAGTTCTTTATACTGCAATAATGAAAGAAACCACTGAGATGCAACTACAGTCAAGTAAATTCCATACCACATCAAAATTGATCATTGCAATAATCAAATGAATTTTTTGCTACACAACAGAGATATTACCAAAATATTTTCCTTACATTTCTATTGCTATCCTTTAGAAAAAAATACTTAATAATCAATCACAAGGGTATTGCCACAAGTAGCATCAAACTGCAATTTCATATTTTTTAATGTTTTCCCCCTCTTTTTACATCATTCAAAGAAGTAGTGATTCTTTAGATGTGAGAAAAAGTGTATAAGTTAAACAAATAATGTTCTCTAAACTGCAACTACAATTGAATTTTTTCAATTTTCTTGTACAATTATGCAAAATGTTGCTTCTTTACAACAGCCCTGCTGCTGTGGTTATCAAATAATAATAATAATAATAATGATAATAATAATAGTAGTAATAGTAACAGCATCTATAATACTTTTGCAACATAAATGTTTTGCTTTGAATTTAAAACGAGCTAGTAGTGATGCAGGGGCGCATAGTAGGAGGCACGTACATGGAGATGCTATTTGGCAGACCACTTGACAACTGACTGCAACGAGATGTGACAGATATAATATATTGAAATAATAAAGGAGGATTACTCGCTTGTTGATATTAATAGAGGATCATTCTGAAAGCGCACAATGCCCCCAAGGAGCTTGGAGACGTGTTAGATAAATTGAAGATGCATCAAATTTTTAAAAAAATTAAAATAAAGAAAATTTGGTACATTAATGAGCATCAGCAGTCTGGCATGTTTTTCTAGTCTGACAATAAAAAGCATTTGCTTTTGGCAATTTTGAACTTCATAAAAATATTGATTTTGGGTACCTGTAATTTCTAAGTATTCGGTCAGACAAGTTATTGCTCCTGAAATTGCCTCTTTGAAATAAAATTCATTAAAATAACAAGACTAATTAAAAAGGAAGAAACACTTTAACAATGATAAAATATGCAATAAATAATGATAAAATATGCATCTTCAAATATCAAAGAATAGGTGAACAGAACAAAGAAAAAAGTATGAAATCAAAATTCCTTTTTGAACAAATATATTCCAATAGATTTAAATATCAGAAAAGAAATGCATATGCCTTGTGTCAGAGTTCAAGTCCAATTGTAATACACAGTATGGAAGAAGATTAATCCCGACATCAAACAGAGGCGAGACATCGAGTCATTGACAGATGCGGTGACCAAACAAAGTAATGCCAGGGCATTGTATGAAAAGTATTTCCCTTATTTCAGAAGCATTGATATGCACAATCTCGAATAAGAGGGGGCTGACTATGTTTCTGGAGATCCCTTTTCCAATTACATAGGATATTTTACTAGTAAATAAATAGAACATTCAAAGAGAATGAAAGAAAGTACAAGTGGCACACCCATGTGGGGCTCATGAGGCTTCATTCCCTCCACCCTGAAGCTAACGATACATACTTGGTCTATTAGAAAAGTATCCAACCTTTGGCTGAGGAAAAAGAAACTGGCATACCTGGGAATGTTGGAAACGTAACCACACTCAAAGTAGCCTCATTGGGACTCCACACACTTCTCCTTGCGGAGCAGCCATTTTGGGAGCATTGCAAGAAAGCCTCTTTCGAAATGGAGTTCAGCTCAGATGCTGTTGCAGTCATAATGTCCTCTCTTGTCGAAAATCACATTTCTTTCAATGGCCTCTTGAGTTTGGCAAACAGCCAGAAGTCGCAAGAACATATATAAGGAGGGTAAGGAGCCTGTTGAACCACCGGAGCCTGGTTTTTCACCAAAAGCCTGAATTAAGTGCAAAGAATGTGCTGAAGCATTGTCATAATGGAAGCACCAGTTTCCTGTTGACCACAACTCTGGTATCTTGTCTTGCATTCCATTACGTAGGCAACGGAGGACATCACTGTAATACTCTATGGTATTTGTTTGACCCTGTGGTGCATACTCATGGTGTATCACATTGCAGGTGTCAAAGAAAACAATCAGCATCATTTTAATGTTGCTGCACAATTGGTGGCCCTTCTTTGGTCTTGGTGACATGGAATGCTTCCACTGTGACAACTGGGATTTGGTTTCTGGGTTATATCCGTTCAGCCAGGACTTGCATCAGCTGTGATTATGGTGTTTGTGAAGTTAAGGTTATTGTTTGTAGAGTCCAGCATGTCTTCTGAGACTTCAACACAAAGTTGCTTTTGCTCTGCCATGCAATGAGAAACCAATGAAAGCATTACACACTACCTCACTCAAATGCTGCTTGCCAGCAATAAAAGCTATCAACAGGCAGGAAAAATTCAGCATACCAACAAAGGTCAATTCAAAGTCAGTTGATGCAAATCCATCAGAGTTTTGCAAAACAAAATAACATTCAATACTTTTCCAATAGGACTCTTCATAAAAAATTAAACTGTTAATAATTTTCTGTACCAATGAAAGCCATTCAATACATCAATGGTTAACACTGTAAATATTATTTATCAGTCAAGAAATAAAAATAAATTTATATTCAGCCCAAATGAAAAGTTTTTTTGTATATAAACATCAACTTCCCATCGAAAAATCCTGGGTGTGCCCCTGATAAACACAGCTGATTTTATGTTGAACTACTTATAGGGTAGTCACATGGCTTGAAGAGCCTCTTCCCTAAATGTTGCAAAACAAATCCTCAAATAATTAGGTTAAAAAAGGGAAAGTCAGAAACCACACATATTATTTACGAAAATAATTAAGCCTTACATAAGCTTACAGAGGCCCTTTCAAAACTTTAATGGGATCATGACTGACCCCGTCCCTCCTGTATGTAAGCATACACCCAGTAACTTCAGAAAGTCATTCCAAGAAGTCCCACATGTAGCAAAAACTACACAAATATGCCATGACAATACTGGACTGAAATGAACTAAATGTATAATAATCCACAAAGGTTAAAAGATAATTAAAATCAATGCACGTGTGTGTGAAAAAAAAAAAAAAAAAAAATAATAATAATAATAATAATAATAATAATATTGAAACATACTTAAAGCTAACATCACTTAAACAATTCTAGACAGACTTCAGTTATAGGGTCAATAATGTACAAATAATGCAGGGGAAAAACAGTCTTCTTGTGGTGAAATTTTAGACTGGAACATTATACTATAGTACACATTAAGTATTACATTTTAGCAAAGTGAAACCTGCAAAATATCACTGGCTACAAAAAAATTGTGAGAGAAAATTAACATTTTTCACTGTATTATTTGGCACTGAAATTTTCAATACAATTTCTTTGCAATGCATGAATGTGGGCTTTTCATGTTTTTCCGTGTAACCCTTCACATGCTAGAGAAAGTTAATTTTCAAGTTACCTGTGCATTTTTATAAGTGAAATTATAGTAACAGTACAAATGGTATCCGAGATGGAAACTTGGAAAAGAGGAATGCATTTTGCAGTAAAAAGTTACTTAAGTGAAATACATTAGTTGAAATACTCTGATGGGTGTAATTTTCAAACTGGGATTTGGGAATATATTATTTCCCTGGAAAGGTGTGAGCATTCTGCAGTTCCCCCAAAAAAGTTGTAGTCAATTTAATATTTTTTTGTAAGAAAGACAGAGACAGAATGAATACTCTGTGTAAAATACAACATTAGCTATTTCCTATAAATGTACCACAAGTTAACAGAAATTATCATTGAATACAGAGATAGTTATACACAGATTAACAATATACAAGACATTTGTATAAAAATTTCATAGTATGTTTGATAATTTCATAGTTTAACTGTCTTCTAAACTACAGAAAAATCAAAGCTTGCTTTCATATATGTTCAAAGAGAACATTCTTTCATAAGAACTATTAGTGAGGAATAATTAGCATCTCAAGAAATAAGTTGCTGCATCACGAATCTAATTCCTATTTGTAGCTAAAAGAGCACTTTGAAAAATAAAATGTTTGCGTTCAATAAGATAGCCTACTTGGTCAATTTCCAAACTCTCTTGAATACAAGAGAATTTTCACAACATACTCAATTACTTAAAGAGTGAATGCTCCTTTATTTGGAAGACATTTTGTTCTTATTCAAATGAGTAAAAATCATTCTCAAGTCATAATACTGTATATATGTTTATATGATTGCATATATATATACATAATCATTATAATTACATAACAAAGTATGAAGTAGTATAAAGCCTGGTGTCAGGGCAAACACCACACTGTACAAGCACTGTACAAGCAACACTGGCAAGGATCACTCAGTTGGCCCTCACGGACACAAGTCCATTCTCCACCCTTCGGCACTCTGTGGAAGTTTGCCACATCCAAGGGTTTGCTCCACTTCACGTGCACTCACACAAGCAAATTATACCTGTAAAACTACAGCTCAAAATTTTTTTAGTTTATAAAAAAATAAAACAAGATCATAGATTTCTTCCAAATCAAAATCTGGGCAAGATATGCTCCTGAGAAATCTTAAACAAATTACTGCCTATGATGTTCCTTACATAAGAGTGAAAAAAATATTTTTACAATAGACAATTCACTTTTATTTTATATACAGAACTCATAAAAAGAATGAACACAATTCTAGGCAGAATGTTTCTTAAGAATTACTCACACTCTCACTTTCCCACATCAATTGCAATTGTTGAAACACTTCTGATAAAATCATATTTTGTCTATTCTATTTATAAAAAGCAAAATTTAAGGATTAATTGGAAGTATCAGTTTTCTGGCTCAGAACAAAAAATATCTGCCAGTAAAAAGTTTCTAATTCTTTGGCAAAATACATAACATTTTATCACTGGCTCCCAAACTTTGAGGTTTCTATTACAAAATTGTGCTGCGTATATACCTCTCAAAAATCTAGTCACTTCAGAGTACCATGATGCAATATGACGATGCCAAATTCTAATTTTATAAAGAGAACATTTCATTCAAATAATATTACATTCAAACTTTTCATCATAACATAATCATGACAACTCAAGAGAGAAAACAGGATAGCCAACAAATTTTATAATTTAAATTATACATTCCTGACATTTGCCCACAGTATGTGTGATAATTTGTTTTAGAAATGTTGTTCTTCATGGCAATTAATAGAGTTTTAAAATATATTAACACTATAATTTTAAAAATCATAAAGCAAAGTTGCTGAGAATATTATGTGTACCATTCTAAAACTATTTACTATTTAAAACTAAAAATATAAAAAATAAATTATGGAAAGGGAAATAAATCCTTGTTTCACTGCACAAAATACAAAAGTGCATTAGTTTGCTGTGTATTTTCAAGATGAGATAAATCCTTGGAAAAATAATAGTGAAACAAATTTAGAAGCATGAAGATCAATTTATGCAAATAAGTTGATTAAAAACAAACTTTACAGTTTTCACTTTAGTTGAAAAATTTATTAACTCTCTTTGATTTGGTCAATTCGAATCCATGTTCTTTTTCAAATTGTAGTTTCTTTTTCTTCATATTATTTCAAAATCTTTTAAACATTCATTCTCTTTCCTAAAAAAGTCCCCTTACTCTCTCAACTCCTTAACTTCAGTGATCTTTATAGTTGTTTTTTTTATAAAATGCAGCATTTCTTACAGTTATGATGATACATTAGTGTATTACCTTAACTGTATGATTTATTTCATAACTAACTGATAAGATATATTTACATTTTGAGTGTCAAAACAATAAAATTTAACAATCCACAATATTTCCACACAACGGTATGATCACTGTCATGCAAAGTTGATCAGCTAGACGATAAAGTTGCCACAGCATTGTAAACTTCCAAGGTGCCTAAACCTTTCATTTATATGCTCATTTAAATATTCAGCAGATGCATTTCATGTATCACTCACTCTATACTAATTGCTAATGAAGTAAAAAGTTGTAAGCCTAACTGTTCACAATTACATGGTTCTGACCACAAACTCATTACTTTGATCCCTGATATTCCTTTATGTTGGCTAACCTAACAATTAATTATTGAAAATTCTAAATACTATTTAAAAACTTCTCATTCACTGACAATTTCAACTAAAATGCAGTATAAAAAGTATTATTTCAACAAGTATATTACTACCAATTCATTATATCTTTTGAAATAAGAGCTACAGTTCAGTTTCCTTTTTCTTTTTGTTACTTTATAACAGTTTTTGATGTGAACTATGGAGCCTAACAATTAAAAAAAAATTAATTATATTCTTGCTAATATCATGGCGAAAATTGATGCTGAAGTGACTTATTGCTACAGATTAATGGAGTTTTAGATACCACAACTTTCACTCATTAGACTAAGCAGAAGAATCGTACAAACAATTTATAAAATGCATTTAAAGGTATTAAAGAATTTACAGGAAACTTCACAAAATGACTGCACACTTTTGTAATACACATAACATCATTACAGAAAAGTACAAACAAATGACACTTACAAAATAAGAAATTATTCTCAACTTGATCTATGCTTTTTGATGTTGGAAGTGTGGGAACCAATGCTGAAAAACCTAAGGCATACACTAGGGTAGAAAATGTTTCAATACACATAAAATAATTTTTAAAATATGGTAGATAAATCTGCAGTACACATGTCTCAGTCAAAAATCAATTGATTTCTTGGTCAATAATATACTCTCCCCTTGCAGTGATGACATATTAACTAAAAGAAATAAAATAATGAGCACCACAATGGCAACCACAAAAATGCCAATGTTAAAGAGTTTCTGGTTTGTGAATGACAAAAAAATTATTGGAACAAATATTTCTAGAACCTTGAGAATTTTAACAAAAAATTAATGAACAATGGACGATAGGTATAATATTGCTTCCTTTTGCCAAAATCATTACAATTTAATGCCAATGATTCACATGGAACATCTAGGCACACCCTTATTTGCATTATTACCGTGGAGCAATCTTTAACATAATAAGGAAGGTATTTAATTCAAGGTAATTTCAAGAATTTAAGAACATATCATACTCTCATTGCATCAGACAAATACATTTTTATCTGAAGGTAACTACAGTACAGAATAAGTATATAAATAAATGCTGAATTTCACAAAGTATCTCAAGATGACTTTATCTATTGAATCCAAATTCTTCTCAAATACATGAGCTGTAGAATTGTTAAAAGAAACTTAGTTATTCTGGCTAAACTGAGAGCAAGACTGATGGGATAGTTTCCAAGATAGAATATAATTATTTAGGTTTAAATGTGAGTTATTATTATTTTTCATTGTCATCAGCAATAAAGATCTGACACAAAGGAAAAAAACATAATTGAACATCATTTTGGTGCATGCAGATTTCTTTATATGAAATCAAAATTCAATGCCTCTCTACCAAGAAACAAGCAGCACACACTCATCTTATTGGCTGTGGAAGGTTACCAGTATCATACTTGTGCCAAAAACTGCACTACTTTGTTCAGAAGCCACCTCATAACAGAAATGGCAGTTTGTAAAGTGACACATTACATGATTATTTACACAGGAAATATTAAAATTTTTTATAACCATTCCTTACACTCACACACACAATATTTATTCTCTGCACTAGTATATATATCAAGTCAGACAACAACAGATGTGATTCGTACAAAAGAACACTTCTCAGGGGCACTCTTTGGACTGGAGTCCCCATGGCACCCGCAGTGGACGAAGGGCTGGCGGGAGAGGCGGGGCTGGCAACCGCTACGTTTACCCAGCACAGGCCTCGCACTGGCGGAAGTGGAGGGGGCAGCACATCTCACTCTCTCTGGGAGAATACCATTGCAATTGTCATGGCCTATGAAACCTGAAGCAGAGAAAGTGAGCATACAATAACGTTTCATTATGATTCAAGCAATAATACAAGATCAATGACAAAGAGATCACAACAGTCTTATGACAAGATGATTTTCAAAGATAAGCTCATCAATTGAGCGAGTTGACGAAAGCTTTAATTTGAATCATTTTCTAAAAAAAGACATTTTAACAGACAATCAGAATATGATCGAGTTTTTTAATTATTTTCCCTTATAAAAACAACAGGAATGGGCTTCATAGGAAAAGCATACACCAGAATGAAAATTGTTAATCAATCAAATTCACCTGATGGAAATATAATCGCTAAAAGGCATTGGCACCAAATTAAAAATGTTAAATATATTGATGAATGGAGAATAAAAACAACTTTTGGAAAAATATTGCAGTAACAAAAAAACAGGCTTCATAAACTAGAAGAAAATTAATGATACTATACAGCAATGAAATGTAGATAATAAAGAAATGAAACACGTCAACAGTCTAGATATGATACTCTAAAATTATATTTTAAAACAAAAAGAGATAAAAAAGTATGAAAGAAAAATAATCATTTCCACACTTTAAATACAATAGTGCATGCTTGAAGAATAAAGAAAAATAAATAATTAGCTTTCTCAAGACTGTTGTTCTCAACTTGATCATTCATGCTGATGATGTAATGCTATGTAAACATCACTTGGATTTAATTTTTTATACATAGTTTCATCAAAGAACTTAAAAAATTAAATGCAACATTTAGAAAAAATGTACAATCTGTGCATGTTTATTTGAACTCCAGAATCTCCTCTTCACCCTTAAACCATAAATGGTTGAATGGTCAATAAAACAGCACAACCTTACATTCACTCTTGAATTATAGAAAATTTAGATGCATGGGTATACAAACTACAAATTTAATTTTTAGTATTGCTAACAAAATAGTAACTCCATACTCCCAGCTCTACTCCTACCACAATTAGGAAAATGGGACCTCAACAAAGCAAGCACTTAGTGAAGCTACGTTTATGTTCAGAAGCAAAACAAGGGGCTGTCTCAGCATTTGTTGAATTGAATTGCCCAGGGACTGGATGAAAACCTGATAAAGATGGGGATCATTGACCCAGAAGCTGAAGTACTTTACTTGTTACAAGCATATTAGTAATTTTAAATTTATACAATACAAATGTAAAGTAATAAATATTATTTCTCTTTTGGAAGAACAGTATGGTTTATCACTGTATAGAAACAGTAATGTTGCAAAAACGATTTTTCTTTGTATTTACACTTTTGATTTAATTTTAATTGTTAAATGTCATCTGACTATGAATTCGAATGAATATGTGGAATTTTTGTAATGAGCTGTTGGTACTGATACCAGGTAATGAGATTTCTACAATGTGTGTTGTAATTACAAATATCAATTCTGCATGCAAACATTAAGTTTTGACAAAAACTTAAAGTTTGTAAATAAATAAGGAAGCGAAAAGATTCCTAGCTCACTGAAGAGAGGCCTGCAGGAATCATATGGATGATTTTTTATTATTTTATACATTTACTTATTATTTGTATAATTTGTTTGTGATATTTAAATGACTTATTTCTAAGGAATGTGTTTCCCCAGAATATTATACCATACCTGCGGTGAGAGAAACATTTGCAAAAATACAGGCAACAAGCTCCATGAAGGATAACTGGATTTGAAAGAATTCTGAATGTGTATTAAGGGAAACTTAATTTAGTATTCAATTCATTTATATGCATATTCCATTTAAGGTTTGACCGCATTGATGGTTATACATACATACATACATACATACCAACATATATATATATGATGTATATATATATATATAACATATCACAAACTATATATATATATACTATATATATATATATACATGACACATATAATATACATATATACATATACGTATATATATACATACTATATAACAATACATCTAATACCATAACATATAACATATACACATACATATACAATAATATAATTAATAATAATTTAACTTGTAATAGAAAGGGGATACGGCCTAGGATGAGTACCCCATGATCAATTGTCAAAGAATTGGAATGATGGATAAAAAGTGTTCACTGATGTCAGTATGGTGTTTCTATCCTTTGTGATTAATGTTTAAGGTAAGAGGATATTCAATGTAGGGCAATACCACCAATTTCACATGAAGGTAATTTTTATAGCAAAAAATGTTGCTCAAAAATGTCAAAGATCAAATGTCAAATTTCCAAAGATCTAAAAATATTCCAATAGACACTTTATTTTGTTTCATTGATGAAGCAACATCTTTAAGAAAATAACAAAATAGTGTTGTACTAGGAGAATTACAAGAGAAATTTGATACTTCTAGACCTCCTTCAGTAAATATTTAATAAGCACTATTAATAAACAATTTCTTTTGTACTTACCTTGTAAGGTGTCGGCTATCTTCGTGTACTTCCATTTCTGAACTTTTGAATTCATTTAGCTCTTTGCGAATGGCAGCTTTGTCCTTGGGAGTTAGCCTTGTCCATGGCTTATCAGCTCGTCTATCATACTCGTGTGCTTGAGTGACTTCAATATAATCATTAAATCGAATGATCTACATAAACAAAAAAATGACACATTCCAATATATTGCAAAGCAAAGTACAGTTCACAGAAGTAAAGAAAAATGTTTAAATAAATAAAAGGAAAATAGGTTTTACAGTTTTCACTATATTGATTGCTATACATTTTGTAAGATATTCCAGGATTTATATTCGAATTACAAATAAGATATGATTAAAAAGCTTATTGCTCGTTTTATAATAATATAAATAATAATAGTAGTAATAATAATGACAATAATAATACATATTTCACATCATTTCAAATTGATAGGAGTGGATAACAATGTTTTTCAAATGGTAATAAATTTACCAAAAATCCTAATATTAATTCCCAAACTAATCATGCTTGTAAATGGAAAGAAACAAGCAAAGCAATGAAGATGGGCAGTAAGTCTGAATCTGAAGAGATATTGAAAGTACTAATAACGAATCATTAATTTTGAAATATATAAACAATTATTCATTACAAATCATGAACATTTAAATTTTCATTAATTGAACTGCCAAAATAATTTTGTTAAGATATTAAATCAGTCACATTCCAAGGTTTTTCATTCACAACAAACCATAATTTGTAATTTTGGTGTGCATTATCTATGACAAATATCTTCTGTCTAGTACATTGTAATTTGAACTTTTGTAGCATTGTACAGAATGAAAGCCTTCACTTACCTTATTCACAAAAATGAATGCACACAATAAGAGTAAAATCAAGTCTCCACAGGTAATACATGAAAATATTGTGATTCAAACTGTGGAGCTGTAAGATGAGATTTGAACGTATTGGACTAAAAGTTAATAGTTCACTAATTTAAGGCATGATGTTCACATCTCATTAACTCTGAGGAACAAGTAACTGTTGCTGCTTTAGCAACTGTACCATTTTCTTTTACAGGAAAATGCATTATCAAACAAACTACTTTGTGTTGGGGGAACAGAAATTCATTAAAAATCATTAACTTCACAATACCAAATAATTACAGATTCATAGAGTAAAAAGAAAAACAATGCCACTTTAATGTTTTACCTTCTTTTCTTTCAGTTCCTCCACAGTGGGCCGGAAACTAAGCTTTCTCAGCAGCATGCGTTTTTTCTCCTCTTTCATTTTCTTTTCTTCTGCTGCAGATTGTTCTGCACAGAGCACATCACAATATATAACACTACACTTTTTTCTTTCGATGCATTGATATTCATGAATGTATGATGGAACAACATAAAGACAGTTTTAAAACCACAGAATATGAAAAAAAAATTATTGGTTATAAAAATTGATATTGACTCCTAAAACTGTTCAGAATGTAAAACTGAGAGTGAGTATGATATGTTATGGAAATTGGAAACTAATTAAATATTATTTATCAAAGCACAATGGCAGAGCTCCAATGCTTTATTATTGGTTTATTGAGTTGTAGGAAAATTTTTGATCTTGTTGATCATATGTACTCATCTGTTCTTGTATCTAAGCAACAAAAGATGCATAGTAAGAATGCAATACTAACAATTCTTATTTAAAAGAAAAATAATTAAGATTTATGAAAAATAATTTCATTTCATAAATTGAAACAATGAATATTTCTTAAAAACTTTTTATTTCAGTAACATAAAGGAATCTTAAACTTTTCTTTTGATTAGGAATAAATAAATTAAGAGACTTACTCTTAAGAATGTTCCTTTCTTCTAGTTCTTCCTGTGTTGGTCGCATACTAAGTCGCCTGTAACAAGCATGAAAATTCAATCAGTTTTCCAGTTAATCAGGCACTAATTTTTAAATCTTCCCACTTTAAAAAAGCTATTGATAAAAAGCTGCATGGTAACTCACCGAATAAGTCGTGCACCAATGGCTTCTTTTGTCTCCATTCTTTCATTTTCGCTCTCCTCATGGATGATGTTGCGGGCTATTAGTTCCTGACGATTGGGACGCAGAGCCAATTTCAGGGCCAGACTGTCCTTGCGCGCAATCTTGGCAGCAAGCCGACCTGCGCACAGGGCCAGTACAGCTCTGAATATTTCGACTCTACAGTTACCTCTGTTTGTCTATTTCTTTTATCTATAATTTATTCTTGTTAAATCAAGTGATTGTTGCAAACTATTTCAAGAAGAAGTATCATTTCTTGAACTGAGAACAATTATTAAATATATGGTACAATTGCTAATAGGTCAAGAAAATTATACTCCTCCTTAATATCTATGGTCTTTAGATATCAACAAAGACTGGACTGCATTTCATACATCTCTATCAATGAATTATTTGTATGACAAAAAATAATATATTTTCATTGAATAATATGAATTATTAGGTTTCCCCCATTTTCAAAAGAAAAGATATTTTAATTAATTATTATAACTCCATTATATTAGATATTAAAATCTTAATAGGTGAATAATTTAAATTAATTGTTTATTGAAGTAGTGAAGTAATTCATCAAAACAAAAGCAGGCTGTTTGTTGCTGATTGAACTCTTGAAGGAAACAATCTACTAAGAGCAATAATTCATATGTACAATTTAATTTTCATAACCATAGACATTGATTTTAGTTCCCAATTTTTTTTTAAAAATTAAAGCAAGTTTTACGAGTGTACTTACTCTCTTCATCATCATCATCTCGGTACAATACAGGTCCGTCACCTGCATCTCCATCACCATCTTCTCGGATGATATATGGCCGTGCATTCTCCTTGTTCTCAATAGTACAAGGTAGAGTCAGACCAAAGCGTACTGGCCGGGCACTGCAACCGAAGCACCCACTGTAACCGTTACTTGTGTTCTTTATAACCGTAGGTATGTGTAAGTGTACTGTTTACATACATTAGAAAACATGACAACATTTGTAAAATAGAAATAGAGTGAAGTCTTTTTGAAGCTTCAATGTTTTTAAACAAGTGAGGAATTGAAATTAAATTTAAATTAAAAAGTTAAAATTGAGGGTTTTTTTTCTTTTCTTTTTTTTCCCTTCTTCTTCTTCTTCTTCTTCTTCTTCTTCTTCTTTCTTTTTCTTTTTTCTTTTTCTCCTTTTCTTTTTCGTTCATATGGAAAAGTCTCTTTACAACCTGATAAGGTTCACACAGTAGTAGGTAACTGTAATGAAATCTACAATTAAAACATTACATTTTTTCCTTACATTATCTTCTCTTTAAGTAGTGAATAACTTCATGTGTTGTCAACCCAAGCTACGGTCAATGCAAGCAAACAAGTTAAAAAGAAAAGTCATTGTCACAATTTATTTTATATGCACAGCATCTTAGATTGATGTTCATGGGATAAACTGGAGCACAACAGTACACATGAGGCAAGAGCTGCAAGGAAGGAATTGATATTTACCTTATCCTGACTCGAGGCCGTGAAGACGGCCGTCTGACCAGCACAAGACAAATAAGCCATGGGTTAGGCACAAGCAGTACACTATCTACACTACACTTTACTCCACATTTACAGGAGGTACATATGGGTCAAGGAAATAAAACACTTATACAGAAATATGATCCCTGACAATAAAGAATATGGAAGAGTAATCAGAGTAATATTAAGAAATATAAAAAAAATGAGTCCCGAATGAATATCATTCCACTTCCTGATCAATGAATAGTACAAGTATTATATTATATGACAAAAATACCAATTAAACTAAAAATACTTTTCTAATATTTTAATAAAAGTTTTCATTGAAATGAAAATGTCAGGTCTGTGTTTGTCAACATGTTACAGAAAACAATATCAGGTAAAAGTGAAGAAGAATTGTGTTGGATGGTTTGTACAAGTGTTTATATGGATGATTTGTAGATTGATGGGCTACATTTTTTTAATGCTTAACTATCCCCATAACCCACAGATACCAATTTTAACCAAAGTTGTGGAAAATAATGAAAGGAATAGCATCAATTGGATTTTTAGAATATGAGTAAAATTTGATGGATTAGATGTTCTTCAAAAGCTCATTTGATTAATTTATTCATATTTTTGTTCTTGAAATAAAATTGCATTATACGAGATAATATTTAGAGGAAAACAAAATATACAGAGGGAAAAAGAAAAAAAGAAAAGAAAAGGAAAAGAAAAAGAGGGGGGGTGTAAAAAAAGAAAAAAATCTAACAAAGAAAACACAAAAACTCTAAATAAATAAATAAATAAATAAAGTTAAGATTCTGAAATATACAAAACTAAGGAGGTTAGAAATATATAAAACTGGAAGGATAAACAGACCAAATGTGCCTACAATAGCTACTTGAGAATGATGTTAAATTTTCACACAAAGGGAGGGGCTCATTAGAAAAGACGGGTGTTTTAGAAGTGGGTGAGGTGGAGATGGAGATGGAGGGGGGGGGGGAAAGCGAGCTCACTTGAAAGAGGCGTGCGGGCCCTCCTGCCGCAGCGCAGCGGCCGGCTCTCTCTCGTGGGGTGTTCTGGCGTGCCGGTCCGCTGCCTCCGCCGCCTCCGCTGGCCGCCTCCGCCGTAGCCGCCTCCGCCTCCGCCGCCGTCCGCGCCGCATCCCGAGGCCGCGTGGGCGCCGCCCTTCTTCTTGAGCGCGCTCTTGAGGGCACGGCGCCGAACTTGGGCTCCTGCGCACGAGCGGGCGGGGGCGGCGGCGTCAGCCCGGCCGCGGTCGGCCGTCGGGGGCCGCGCGCGCGGGGCGGCGAGCTCCCCGCGGGCGGCGCGGAGCTGCTGCTGGGCCCCGCCGCTGGTGCCGCCTGCTGGTGCTGCTGGTGCAGGTGCAGCGCCCGCCACGCCACGCCGCGCCACGCCGCCCGCCACCGCCGCGCCCGCCGCCGCGCCGCCGCCGCCGCACCCCCCCGCCCCACGCCCGCACCGCCACGCCAGCCCGACCTGCAGTCAACCGCGCTCGCGCAGCCCGCATTGACGCGCCGGCTCGCGGGCCGTCGGCGCGCGGCCGCTCGGCAGGCGGCGACCCTCCACGACCCCGCCCCACTCGCCTACCACGCCACCACTCTAGGTTTCCTCTCTAAGCACACGTCAAGACATCGCCCTAATCGCTTCTGGGGCAAGAAACATAGGGCAAAGTGTGGAAATAGCAGTGAGCGGAACAAATGGATAGAGAAGGAGGAGAACGGTACCGGGGCAGGGGGATAACGGGGCAATTTGGCACAAGGGCACGGGACAATCAAATATGAATGCTACCGATTTGCTTAATTTCACTTCTCACGTAAATTTCGTTTCTCTCTGACAAATCCGCTCATATCACAGCTCTTTATATTTATATTTTCAAGAAAAAATTGGCCATGACCAGTTATCCACCTGCAATATTCCCGCTTTCCTTACGCAACTGGAAAAGAATTCTCTACTTCTAGAAACCGACATATAGATGCGGTACCCGTTCGTTTCGTTGCAGCCGTCATTCAACTTCGATTGACATCGTTCACATAAAAACGAACGGCTACGATAGATGAAGCTGCTACCGCCCTCGGAGAATGATGCATCTTAGATGTGTTCACTCTGGTGAAACGGGTAATGATCATTATCTGTTTGCCTAGTATCGTGGGAGTGAATTATAGAGTGTTCACTAAAAAATAAACGTATATACTAATTATGCTTGATTTTGCTGGGAAGAAACTGAAAGCTATTCCCACCGATTATTGGATTTTTTTAAATTAAAAAAAGTATGACTCAATCATGAAAAGTTTTGGTAATTTCATAAGGAATCGCGTATGTAAATGATTCATAAACCAATCATTGGCATTGTCCGTAAGTAAGGGACACATTACGAATAATTATACTCGTAAACTTCTCTTTAATTAACAATTTTTCATGATGTTCGAACCGATATAAAAACGTGATATTAAATAAAGAAGAAATACTGTAGTGTAAATAAACAAATGTCTTTGACCATTAAAAATACTTTTACAATTATTTCTAACAAATTTGGATTAGGCTTAATTAGCTGAAAGTGTTAGTTAAAGTACAAACCAGGACTTACTAAGAGGGCGTTCTCATAATCATAAAATAATGTTATCCATGGGAACGTTCTACTCTACCTATGTTCGGCCCTGACCATTGAATTAATTTTAATGCGTTTAATACAACTGATTTATATCTAGTATTTTTTTTACAATTCTGCTAAACTATTTGAAAATAAAAATTATAAATGATTGTAAAGTAATTAATTTCTACCCGAAACAACCCTTAACTATCATAGCCATAAATACATAATCTCCCTCCCGCCTTAATCAATGAAATAAGGATTTCTAATATATTTTCTAAATGTCATTATATATGTCTGATAATGTAATTCTAAAATATCAAAACTTTGCTCTCCCAATTACAATTTTATGGAAATAAATATCTCGAGTTTATAGAAATTTCCGTCTAAGTAGGCGTAACGTTGCGGTTGTTCCGCAATACACTGCTGTATAACGGGTCACATACACACATTCAGAAAGGAGTTACGTAAAATTAATACAGCCGAGAAGGGGCGCCCAAAAATACATACAAACAACACATAACACCACACATTTATTAACAGAAACTTTAAATGGCTGTGGAACACAAGACAATCAATACGGGAATAGTCAGGAACAGTAAAACGCATATTACAAACACCAAGAATAAAAGAGTGATTTTTCTTAAAACTTGGCAGGTACTTCGGGTTGCATAGATGTCCAGGTGCTGATAACTGCACTATCTTTTGTACTCTAATATGATAAACACAATATAAAAAAAAAAAATAGACGAGGAAGGACCAACACGTCCATTTAAACAAGATACATGTATACTTACAAACTCATGTTATATTCATAGAGCAAATTGTTGCAAATTATACACTAAAAATAAGGAAATAATTTTGAAGCATAAATATACGTTTTATTCCTTCCCCGTCTAATAAGCAACGTATTATGTCAAAGCAGGCGAATAATTGAAAAGGCTGATAAAAAAGGAAATGGAAAGGCTGAAAGACTTCGCGGAAAGTTCCGAAATAAAATATTTAGATCTTCTGTCGCATTGTATAGACAATTCTCTTGCCAAGTAGGAGATGGCGGTCTCATCATGAAGGCTTTAATTGCGATTACCACATCTTACAACTTCAAGTGTCTATAATTTTTCATTAATTATTGTCAAAAGAAAACAACTATCGTTTCGTCATACTCCACCCGGAGTTGGGAGTGCTGGGTGCCCTAGACCTAATGAACTATGGAACCATATTCCATACTTCAATTATGAATGCAATAAACGATACATAGAATATGTGAATTCAATTAACCAAGTATTTCACTTTAGTGAACATATTGTCTTAAGATTTCTACTAGATGTCTTAAGATATCTACAAGATGTCTTAAGAACATATTGTATTAAGTGGACGTGAGCTCACATACCTGATCTCTTGTGAGTAAAGACTCTCAGGATGGGACGTAACAGAGCATTGACAATTTAACTCAATTACAGTTTTTTGTCGCACGACTCCCCTATTGAATCACTTTTTCTTTCTAGAAGTATAGGTAAAATTAAATAATTTTGGATAAATTCGATGTCGAAACTTTGAGGGATATATTTGTTTTGAGGGTCCCTGATAGCAAACATGTGTTTTTATAAAATGCCAGTCTGCGTTCGTACGTCAGACCGTACATACTAGCTGCTAAATCGCGCACGCAATGTTTACCAAAATAGGTCTTCGATCGACTACGCTGATGTGACGGTCTCACAATTGAGAAACAAATATTTTAATTTTCGGGGTGTACTGCACGAAGCCCCTAGGACACTTTCAAAACTTTCTAAAAAAATCCGTCTTTCTACGGTCAACGCTAGTGCCCAAACAGTCCAGATGATTTGTATTTAAAATTGATGTTACCTAATCGATGTAGGCAAACTCGAGGCCCTGCGACTTTGAAATGGATATTTTGAGGAGGGACCACTTTACATGAAGTTCTAACATTTTAAAAAATTTCTCAAAAATGGCTCCAAATGTTTTTATTAAACTATT